TGCAGCGCGGCGGGGTCGCGCCCGTGCACGCGCGCCTGTGGAAGTGTCGCAGACGCGTCGCCGACAAGCCGCTGGCGTGCCGCTGGCGCGCCGTGGGCGCGTGGTGGGGCAGGCGGCCGGTGGCGCAGGCAGCGCCGGAGGGCTGTGAGTGCCGGAAGTGCGCGGCGTCGAGCGGCGTTGAAGGGAGGGGAGACTCGGAAAGTGTCTCGGAAGTCTCGGAAGCGTCTCGCGCGCCGCAAACGCGAGCAGCGCGCTGAGCCGCCACCGGCGCGCGAGCGGCGGCAGCCGGAGGCCCAGCGCGAGCGCCGCCGCCTCCTCGGCCACCGACCCCTCATACGAGCTGCCGCCGCCAGTGCTCCGCCGCTCGGTGCTCGTCGCCGCGCGCGCAACCGCGGCCGCCGCCGCTGCTGCGGGGCCGACGCCGCGCTTGTTGACGGCGGCGTTGGTGAGGATGGCGAGCCGCTCGGTCGAGTCGCTCTCGTACTCGTCCGTCGCGAAGAGGGCGAAGCCCTCGGTGTACAAGTAGACGCGCAGCGGTCGGCTGCGGGAGGGAAGCGGCGGTGAGGGCGGTGAGGCTGGCGGCGGTAAGGGCGGCCGGCTGCGGGGAGGGAGGGCGGCGATGAGCGATGCGGGTGGCGGCGGCAAGGACGGCGGCGGCTTGGGCGGCAGGGCTAGGCGATGATCGCTATGTGAGGTCCGCCACGCGCGAGGGCAGCAGCCGCGAGGGGGGGTAGGGAGGGGGGTCGGTGGGGGCCTGCCTGCAGGTGAGCAGCGAGTAGAGGCGAAGAGAGAGCTGAACAGCCAAGTGGAAAGGGGACGGCTCGAGGGTGTGAGAGGCGGCGGCGAGCAAGGGTGGCGAGATGCAGCGGGGGCGTGGGAATGGGCCGGGCGGAAAGAGGCGGTGGGGAGAGGGAGGTGAGGGGAGGGGAGGGTGGCAGCAGTGCGCCTTTCGGCCGCCGACGAGAAAAGCGGCGTCGACGTAGCGTTGCACGACGGCGTCCGGGTGCAGTGCGAGGAGAGCCCGCGCGTCGGAGCTCGCATTGAGCAGCTCCGCGGTGGTGGCGAGAGACACGCCCTAGGGTGGGCGACAGCCGGGTGGGTCGGCGGGTGTGGCGTCGGTCAGCAGACTAGTGTCAGCAGTGGGAGGAGGAGGAGGGTCGGGCAAGCGAGGCTGGGGACGGGAGAAGGGCGTCGTTGGGTCGTCCGGGAGGGCTCAGCGAGGCGCTCCCAGCCCTCTAGCCGCGTGCGTGGGGACGGGAAGCCGGAGGCGTCCACCTTGCCACGGTGGACGGCACGCTTGATCAGCCAGCGGCGCGGCGGCAGCAAAGCTC